ATTGAGTGTGTGCTGTACTGGCAATATCTCACTTAATCTGCACAAAATTTTCCCTGTATTGGGTTAAATAATTTGTCCAAGGTTGTACAGTTGTAACTTCAGAAGCTGTATTCCTAACCACTAAACTACACGGCCTCCTTCTCCAAATGCACATGAAGATGTATTCATCTTCCCTAGCCTAGCTCTTCTTTGAATCTCTTCCTGAATTTATTTTTCTGTTTTTAAAGCAATGTCCTCCAAAATTTACACTCTTCTTCCATCCATCGTTAGGCTTGGTCAAGAAAGTAAACAGATCTATAAATATATCAGGTAAAGCCATTTTTTAGAAGGCCGTGTAGCAATAAATATTACCCTCTTACATGAGAATAACTTCTGAGACTGTAAATCTACATACAAAAGTATAAAGTAAAGATGTGTCTAAGAGTGCTCAATCCCTCTGTATGTGTGAACAATAAACACCTCCTTGATCCTATAAAATTTAGCAGGTGGTTAACAATGGTGATTAAGCATGTTGTGATCCATTTATATAACAGAATTTTATGCTGGCATTAAAATGACTGTGCAGATCAGTGTTTATCAACTTAGAAAGATGCAGTGAAGTAGCATTGAGTAAAAAAGGCAAATTATAAAGTTTCCAGAGTATAATCTTGTTGCTGTAGTCCATGGGTTTGGAGAATGGGTGCATCTATAAAGAGATATTTGTCAGAATATTACCCAAAATGCTAATTATGACTGTTTCTGAGTGTTGGATTTTGGGTAGTTCACCTTCCAGGTAGTACTTTTCTGCATTTTTGTTATGGTAATGAATGTGTGTCCTTTTAAAGATCAGAAGTAGTCTAAAATAGTCTTTTAAAAGACGACTATTTTATAGGGGAAGGAAAACCACATCAAGGCAATTCAGCATGCCAATTGCTTATCCCACTGGTGATGGGTTAGCTGTGTTAGGTTTGGGAGGCGCATTTGACAGGACTGTCTACCGAGGAGACAGTAGAACGCTGTCTACGGAGGAGCCCAGGCCCTAGGTCAGAACCCCACGGCACTTCGTTTTGTGTATATCTTCATGAAGCCACGTCAGCAGATGCAGACTTCTTTCTCTTGGGCAGAATGAGTGTCACCAAGAGCCCGTGCTTCTGTAGGGTTTCTTGATCTCCTCTGTAGGACTCAGTCTGACCCTGCTTCTTGGGGTAGGTTGGCTCCATAGGACACAAATTGCTTCAGATTTTGTGATATCAGTACAGGAACTCATCTGTGTCCACATGATGTCTTGTGGAGGGAATCATAATAACATGGTCATAGTACCTTGTTCATGGAATCACAGGATTAAAAGGGAACCCAGAGATCTTTTAGGACAATGTGTTCCATTTCCAGTGAGGAGTCTATTGTCTTTCTCAAGGACACCCAAAGGCACAAACCTCAGCCCTCCCACCAGCCTGCTTTTGTTTTGTGTCATTTTGTTGAACAGAGCTTTGCTATTGGTGATGTTGGTCCCATTTGTCCTTTTCAAAGTGTAAGCCGAGAAGCAAGCCGTTACCCAGAATGCTTGACAACCAGACTCATGATAGTTAGTGGGGACACAAACAGTGAGAGACTAAAAAGAGTTCAAGATTGACAGAGGCTGAAGTTGAAATGCTTCTTTATTTAAAAGAGATTTTAAAGTAGCACTATAAAATGAAAAGGACAATAACATATTGGGGAAAATATCTACCTCAAATCAATAGTCAATATGTGCACTGCAGAGAGAGCATCTTTTTAAAGAGAAACACTGACTGTGATCATTGAGCAGAGGATGTGAACACAAAGCTTATACAATATTTTTCCTATCAAAATGAAAATAACCTAATTTCCTATTCTGATCATAAAAACAACACACACTAAGGCAGGAAGGCAAGGTTTCTCAGTCTTGACACTCTTGACATTTTGAACCCATTAATTCTTTGTTATGTATATGTGGTTGTTCTGTCTATTGTAAAATGTAAAATCTGCCAGTGCCAGTAAAACCCCTTCACCCAGTTATGACAACCAAAAACATTTCCAGAGCTTGATAAATGTCCCCTAGAGGAAAAAGGAAAAATTACCCCTGGTTAAAAGTGCTGGACTGAGACAGATACACAGAAGTTATCCTTCTTCCTTAGTAACTGGTAAATTGTAACATTAAAATGACATTGAGAAATAAGCATAAATATAACTGTCACACATAAACAAAAAAATAAATTTGAGGAACCGTCATAAAACTAATTGGTAAAATGAAATTATTTAAAATTGTATCACTTAAAAATAAAATTATATCACTTAAAGATGCCTCCTTGTTGGCTACAGATTGCTCTAGGCAGTGTGGTAGTGAAAGGGCACAGGGTGTAGCAAAGTTGGTGCACATATTCATACTGAGGACACTGTGTATCTTTTACAGCAATGCTCACCAACAGCTGCAAGAATGATTGTGCCATTTGCTTCACTAATCTCCCTTTTAGGAATTTATCCTAGGAAATAACTGAAAAAGGGCAAAACCCAGTATACATCATGATGTTTGTTCCAGCTTTATTTATAGTTGCAACACTTAGGTAGCAACCCAAATATGCAACATTAGAAGACCATTTTATGTATTGTGGATCGGCAGTTTGGTGAAGCAGACATTAAAAATAGTACTATAGTCATTGTGTAGGGGTGACAAAGTCATGGCAGAAAACAAAATGCAAACTGTATAAGTATTAGGGTTGAGATTTTTGTAAAAATAAGTATATATGTTTGTTTAAAGGCACAATATATATACCAATGAAAACAGGTGTGTTAGGGGACTTATAGCATGGCTATTTTTAATTTAACGAAAAAAAACCTTTAACTGGGCATGGTGACACATGCCTGTAATCTGGCTACTTGGGGGTAAAGGCAGGAGGATTGCAAGTCTGGGCAACTTAGTGAGACCCTGTCATAGAGAAAAAATAAATAAGGTTGGGGGTATAGCTCAGTGGTCCCTGAGTCCAATTCCCAGTACCACAAAAACAAAGCAAAACAAAAAAAATTTTACTGTAGTTATACAGTATATTTTTACTTAACAGAGATTAAAATGGTCAAATAGATAGCCAAGGGAACTCTGGAGAAAATTGAGGGAGAGGACAGAGAGATCATTGAGCTTGAATTTGGGGATTAGATTTAGATAGATGACGTTATAATTTACCCCTTGCACTTTTGAAAGCAAAGAAGGCACCACCAAATATTACACCAGGACAACACATGTGAGCTGGGACAGTCCCAGAAAGTGTCTGGTCACCATAGACGGAGGGAAACCAAGGAGGATGACTTGGAGCTTTTATGAAAACTCTGGGGAAATGAAGTTCAGAGCCAAGCAGAAGGCCAAGATTCCTGGGGCCCAAAGGGACTCTTCTGCAACTGAGGACCTTATAGCTGACCTGTTTTCTGGGTGCTCAATTGGTGAGAAACACTCATTTTTCACGGAGAGCTCGCGGACACCATGAAGCACAGCCTGTATTCCCAGCAGGGCAGCACACATCTGCAGGATGATTCATCACTCAGCAAGTACCTACTCAGCTCCTTCTTTTGGGGACAGCGTGCTCCAGCACTGAGAGTACAGCAGTGACAGAACAGTCTCGATTTCATGGACCTTGTATTCAGTCAGAAGTTTATAAAACACAAATAAACAAATGTGCTAATCACATAATGAGAAAGTGCTCCAAAGCCAATGAAACTGTATGATTTTGAAAATGACTAACGGACAGGGAGGCAGAAGCTATTAAAACACTTGAATGTCGGGTTAAACATTCCCTCTCAAGTCTTATGGACATCAGTTTCCTTATAAACACTTCCCAGAATTTGGGAAAGTATTACAAGGTCTACATTTGTAGTCAAGCAACATGACTTTATTGGATGTACCAGACACTGCCCCTGTCACTGCCGGGCATGGTGGTGCACACTTGTAGTCCCAGTACTGAAGGCTGAGGCAGGAGGGTCACCACGAGTTTGAGGTCAGCCTGGGCTATGTAGTGAGTCCAAGGCCAGCCTGAACTACAGAGCAAAACCCTGTCTCAAAAAAGGAAACAGAACAAAACCAAAAAACCCCTCACAAGTCAATAGTAGCTTTTGCCTTCATGAATTCAACCATCCAAATGGCAAAAAATTTCCTAGGGTTATAATTCATGATGCTTAAATAGATTCCCTCCCTCTTGCCTTTCCATTAGAAGAAGGAATTATGCTGGGCTGCTGGAAATCATTTTCACCAAATGTATTAGTAGTAGAATGGTGACATACCGAGTGGGCATTTTATTGTAGAAAAAATTAACTTAGAAATATCTTTACCAACTCTTTAAAATTTTTTATATTTCTATGTAATCTATTTTTAAAATTTATTTTAAATATAAAAGAATGAAAACATATTAACAAACAGACATCCATTTACAAAATAGCATAAGACCAATACAAGCAATTCTGAATTACAGACAAAGTAGTAGCAAATTAACAATGGTTGTTGTATTACATATTGATATCTTCAAAGTGGTTTCTCAGGAAAACAAATATAGACATGCAAAACTGATCAAATAATTAATCATTAACTGTTCCTTTCAGTAAAGTGATGGAAGACAGTAGTACAGTTATGTTAGCTATCCTGTATATACATATATACATAATTTCCCCTTCTTTCTTTTCTCTTTTCCCTCACCCCAGTTGCTCTTTACTTTTGAGCAGTTTCCTTTCATTTCACAATGTCTATCATACCTCCTAATTTTTATTCACTCTTTCAGGTTCTTACAGTAGTGAGACAATATGTTGCTTACACATGTAGGTCTGATTTATTTCACTTATGAGTATGGTCTCTAGTTGTGACCATTTACCTGTGAAAGCTTTGAGCTTATCTTTCTTTATAGCAGAGTAATATTCCAGTATATAAAAATACCACAATTTTTTTATCCTTTCCTCAGTGGATGGACAATTGGGTTGCTTCCACAATTTAGCAATTACAAATTGCGCTACTATAAACATGGGTGCACATATATCACTGTTATATGATGGTTTTACCTTTATATGTGATTCATTGTCTTTCTCTAACAGCTTTTAATATTTTTTCCCTATGTTGGACTTCTGGTACTTTCAGTATAATGTGGCATAAAGAGGTTCTCTTTTGGTTGTAGCTATTTGGAGTTCTTTTTTTTTTTTTTTTTTTTTGGTACTGGGAATCAAACTCACAACCTCATGCTTGCTAGGTAAGCACCATGCCACTGAGCTATATCCCTGGTGCTATTTGGGGCTCTACATGCCTCCCTTATATGAATATTTTTTCCTCTACATATGGGAAGTTTTCTGCCATTATTTCTGTGAACAGGTTTTTTATGCCATTTGTGCTGCCTTCTGACTTGTCATATATTCCAGTTGCTCTTAGATTAGTCTTCTTTGCATCCTTTAGCAGCTGTAGGATCCATTTTTCATCTTCTCTTGTTGCTTTAAATATGTCTTTGAGTAGTTGGTCTTTGAAGGCATTGCCATCTTCTAGTTCTGAAATTCTGCCCTCACATTGGTTGCTTCTGTTCCCCATACTTTAAATATGACTTTTAATCTTCTGGATTTCTGATTGAAATTTTTCACGGGCTCTGATTCTTTGCTAAACATGCCATTCATGTTTTATATCATTTTGTTTAGCTCATCTAGCTTTTTATTAGTGTCTTCTGAAGGCGGCTGTATCTTTTCAGTTGTTGCTTCCATTACCTGTTTAGTTATATCGTCTCTGATCCCACTGAGTACCTCTTTGATCTGTTTTCTAACCTCCTCTGTTATCCTTTCAAGTACTTTGGTTGTGTGACCTACGCTGTTCTGGCTCTTGATGCTCCCTGGATTAACCTTGGGGAGTTGGGAGTTTTGGGAGGCATTTCGTTGCCTTGTCTTCTCGTGTCTTTGTTCATTTGTTTCTTTTGTTTTGCCCTGAGGTTGTGGAGGCTTATAGTTTAAAGACTTTGTTGGTAATATAGAGACCTCTAGTTGCTTTTCAGTGATATATTGTGCGCATAGGTAATTATAGTCCTTTGTCTCAGCCCCAAAATCTGACCATCTTGGTTAATCAGCTGCGTCTGTCAAAGGACTCAGGGGAGCAGAGACCTGCACTTGCCCTCAGCTCACAGCGATCTGTTCCGCTTCCACGTTCCAACCTGAAGCCCGTGGAGTCCCCAGCTTCCGCTGTGTTTCTGTAGACTCGGCTCCCTTTCCTAGGCGCCGCCAGCAGGGAGCTGCGGGGAAAGCGCAGATTGTCCCTTCCCTGTTCTGTCTCTTCAATTTCTCTGTAGGTTCTAAGTTTCCCATTACATCCTTCCTGGTTCCTGGGGGTCTACTTCTCTCCTTCTTCCTTCTCCAAGGTGTTATTTTCCAGGGTCTGGATTCCGAAGCTGGGGAAGCTGTGTTGTTGCTTAGCACTCCACCATTTTCCCAGAATCTATGTAATCTATTATAGTTATTTTAATAAAATATAAAGTAAATGTATCTATATTAAACATTATATATTTATGTTATCATTATTTTTAAAAGGAATCTGCTATGAACATGATTCTCAACTTGGCTGAACATTAGGTCACCTGGGAAGTATTTTTAAAAAAAAATTTTTTTTGTCTTTTTTAGACAGGGTCTTGCTATGCAGTTCAGCCTGGCCTTGAGCTCACTTTGTAGCCCAGGCTGGTCTCGAACTTGCAACCATTCTCCTACCTCAGCCTCCCAAGTGCTGGGATTACAGGTGTGTGCCACCTCGCCCAGCTTAAAATCTTGATGCCTATGACCCACCCCAGAACAATGAAACTGCAACCTTGAGGTGGGGATAGGGTGTCAGGGCAAGCCCAGGAATGAAAACTGTTTAATCTAATCCTCTCCAGGAACTGGAGTGTGCAGCCAGGGTTGAGTTAGGAGCAGAACCCCAAGGCCCACGGGGTATCTGTAGTACAGAGTGGGCTGAATTTGGAGGCAATTCTGTCCTGGTGGCCTGATGGCTTCAAACAGAAGAAACACTTCAAACTTTTGCTTTCATAGCAATTATGAATTGCTTTGTTTTGGTTGTTTTCTAAAACTTGTCTTACTAGGAGTAACCTCCTTAGCTTGAAGGCCAGTCAGGATTACATTCAGCTGCAAACCATAGAAATGGTGTCAAGTCAGTTCACTTTTGCCCTCACCAAGAAGCTAAGAAATGGATAGGTGAAGTAGTGCGAGAAAGAGACAAGCTCCTCCTGTCTGCGCAGCCACGCCACTCCCACCCGGTAGTCAGCTTTCATCCTCAAAGGCCGAAATATGACTGCAGAACCTCCAGGCACCAGTCTGTGCACAGGGAGGGCAGAGGGTGGCCTTTAGCCTTGAGGGGAGGCTTTGCCTTTTTAGTGGGAAGGGAAGCTTCACTCCCACCCTACCCTCATACCTCTGCTTGTATCTCATTGGTCAGAACTGTCGTAGGATCATCCCCAGCTGCAGTGGAAGCTGGGCGTTTGAGTGCTTCTTTTCCCAGACTCCTTAGAGAAAGCAAGGAGAAGGTACTTGGATGGACACTGGCGGAGCCAATCTGAGTAGTTTTCACATTTCAGGTCAATGAAATCAGTACTGAAAGCCAAGGAGCAGGGGCCAGCCTTCTAACCCTGTGACTTCTGAGAGCCTACATCTGGCTGAACATCTGCTGATGACAAAGAAACTTACGGCCCAAGAGCTTTAGCTCGAAGGCCTGAAAATGAAGATGTCTCCAGAATCAGACACGTACATCGTTTGATGCCCCAACCTGTGGCTTGGGGATTCTTCTTGTCTCTTTAGCGGGTGAGAGGCAGGTACTGGGCCTGATTTCCCCAGGAGAGATGGGAGATGTAGGCATAGACCCTTTCTCTGGGAAGTAACCCACCTCTCAGCAGGAAGCCTTCTTCAGGAGTGGCGAGTTCCATCTCTATGTGCAACTGATGCGCAGGAGCTGCTGGTAACTAAGGGAGACTAAACACATGGCTGGGTGAGAGGGATAAACTTCGCATGCCACTCAGTGAGGTGTGGGTGTAAGCTAAAAAGGTCACCCTACCAATAAATGACTGCATGTTCTCTTGAGAAAGAGACTATTTTCTTGAGAAGGGACTATTTTCGCCCTTCTGGAAACTGTGATTAGAAAATGCAGGGAGAAGGTCAAGGCACTAACCCAGGGCTGGCAGGGCAGAGGGCCAAGCCTGTTGGGAATGCCTGGGCAGTCCCTGCTGGAGCAGTGGGCCAGAGCCCAGCTAGGAAAGGCCAGCCTGTCCCCTTAGTCTCTGTCCCAACTTGGCAGCCCCGGGGGTAAGGGAACTGCCTGGGGATTTCCCGTCACCCGAGAACTCTTTGAGTGACCCCTCCTCAGCCCCTCCGTAGGGGATTTCCCAAAGTGTTCCCAGGCCCCAGAAAGCTTCTCCTTGGTCACCTCCATGCTGTTGTGGTTCATGACAGAAGTGGCCCCGGGTGAGGAGGAACCGTAACATTAGCATCTGGGCTCGTAGGAGGCCGGAATAGAGGGAAGGTGAATTTGGAAAGCTAACAGGGCTGAAGCCTCCCAGGAGATAATTATCAAATTTCACCGGAGTTAAAGAGACTTCAGAGGCAAGAGGGGAGGGACGGGGGCTGGGAATTTAGCTCAGCGGCACAGTGCCTGCCTGGCAAGCACAAGGTCGTGAGTTCGATTCCCGGTAACGGAAAAAAACACACACACACACACAAAAAGAGAGGAGGGAGGGACAGACTGCGAAACCAGACTGCTTCAATTCGCATCTTGGTGCTGCAGCTTTCCACCTGGGTGACCTGGAACAAGGCCGTTCACTTCTGTGCACCTTAGTTTCTCTTCTTCTGTAAAAGGGGATAATATTGTTTACCACATAGGTGGTTGCAAAGAGTAAACATAATGAAAACCATAAAATACTTTAAAGAGGGACCGACACATGGTAATGGTCAATAAAGGTTAGTTATTGTCAGGTGAGGTTATTCCAAAAATTGGGCTCCTACTAATCTTTCTCATATAAATTGAGTCTACACTTATCTCTCCCCAATATGTGTGTTCGTGCACACACACACACTCACACACTCACATTTCCCTTCAGGGCCAGGGTGGGGGTGCTGGAGGCTCTGGTTTGCTGATATACTTAAGAAACCAATTTGGAATCTTAAGTATTTGACAGTAAGGGGCCTGGAATCGAATCTTGTGGTTTTCAGCATCCGAAGCCCGTTCAGCCCATGGGGAGCCTTTAACAACCCAGTGCCCAGGCTGCACCCACCTGTTATGTGGCAGCCAGGCACTGGTATTTATTGTAACGTTGCCCAGGGCACCCGGTGTGTGGCTAGGGTTGAGAATCTTTGTTTTGGTCCAGTCTTCCTTTATGTTTTAAAGTAAGACAAGAGGGGCTCAAAGGGGAAAGTGGGGGTCACCCAGCCAGGACCGAGGCCTGGGGGCCCCATTCCCAGCGGTCACCGATGGAGCCCAGCTGTGTGCCCTGTGCCCACTCCCGTCCCGCAGAGGAAGCAGGCAGGCACGGTGGAGCACAGGGCCCCAAGTCACACGCTCTCAGCCCCTTCTGGCTCTGGGCGTCTGGGTGCACTGCTCAGTTTCTGAACTTCTGAGAAACGTGTCTTGAGGCCAGTCCTGCAGCACTTTCTCCTAAAGCTGCGGCCGCTCGTGCGCGCACGTGGTGGGTGCGCGGTAGAGGTCACCCGGTCCTCTCAGTCGGCCTCATCCGCAGAGCGGCGGCAGTGACAGCCCCTGGCTCAGGGTCCCTCTCAGAGAGCCGTGGCGAGGAGCCCGCTGAGTGCGAATGAATTCCCACGGGCGAGGGCCCGCCCCGCCGCTCTGCGGTGGAGCCCAGATTTCCTCGCGAACGCCTCTCCTCTCGCCCGCAGTGAAAGCTCGGCGGAGAGGAGGGCACGGTCGTCCCTCTGGGGAAAAGCTGCTCCCACGGCCCCTCGGCCCGATGTCCCTGCAGCCGCGCGCCCCTGGCCGGTGGCCGCTC